AACTTCCTCATAAAATCGTCTCTGGTGTCCGGAGTCTATTGAACGTCTCGCCCACATATGGCTCAGTCGGGTGTTCAATTCAGTCCGTTAATTGCCCCGGTCATCGGGTCCGCTTATGTAAGTGCACTGTACTTTTCCATGTCGCTATTAACCTTTCGTGCTGTCGGCGATTTTTACCCGGTGATGCAGCCAATCTTGATCCCATTCATTCCTCTCATTGTCAGAAAAATGAAAGGTTTCCTAAGTCGTTCTTTGGCCACGCGTTTTCCCCGTTTCTGTGATGTAAGCTTTTTAATCTGCCCGTCATCGTGGTCAAATGTCTCTTCCAATGTGTGTCACTGCGGTCTAGTCTCTATGTCTGCATATCATGTCTGTGATCTTACAAAGCCACGCGCTTTGTCAGTGTTGCCACTTGCCATCAATGACATCACTGACAATGACATCACCTGTCTGACGTCAGTAGTCTGATGTCAGTGCGAACTGGGAGAGACCTGCGGTCTGCACGTGTGTATTACTCACCCCTCACTGCCAAATGTCACAGTCTCGCTGCCCCCGTGCCTGTCCCGGGTGAGTTGCTAGGCGGAGCTACCTTCCCCCGCGGCGGCGCCGTACTAAGTCATGTGCGGTTGCAGTGTGCAATGGTGCAGAGGCGCGGTCTCGGCGCCACACCCAGACCCTTCTCTGCAGGAGAGTAGCTCATTTGGCAGAGGCGGGTCAAGGTAGAGATTTGGGGAGGGAGGTCACGGATGTCGGATCATAGCAAATTGACTATGAGCTGAATTTTCAGTTAATCGCGCCAAAGTTATACGGTACTAGTCATGCAGTATTTATGGTTGCCAAAAATAAATAATCTTCTAACAAGAATACCTTCCGTACTAATAGCGCATTCCAAATTTCATGCATTCGTGGAAGCACGGTCAAGGAGAGTGCCTCCTGCTACCACCCGCCTGAGGATCTCCTTCCAACCCAGCAGAGCCTCATTAAAGTTCTTTCCATGCACCACCGCCGCCGCTGCCAACACCGCAGGCTGCCCCTCTGGCGGTGGTCAGAGGTGCCAAGTCATGCGGTCAGAGGCTTGGATGGGTTTCTCTCGCCGAGCTCCGGCTTGGGCCGCCGTCTCGTCGCTGGCGGCGGCGGCGGCGGCGGCGGCCGGGAGGCGTTCTGGAATGTTCTGTGGTCGGTGAAGGTGCTGCTGGGGCCTGGGCTGGGTCCAGGCGCCGAGCTGGTGGGTGAGGCCGGTGCTGGGCTGGGTGCAGCCGTCCGGTGACTTTTTATGGTAGCAATGAATGTTTGTGGCGAGCTGAGATTTGACACTAAAGAGGGGGGGGGGGAGGGTTGCTGTTGTGTTGTAGGAATTGAAGAGAAGCAAGGTTAGAAAGCTACACGCTTCGGTGTCACGTGCTAAGAAAGTAATGCAGACATATATAGAGCCTTGATGCAGACCACCCGGTCCCATTGGTACCTGACGGTTATGTGCAATCGGCTGTTTTTATTGACTCGTTTCACTAAAAGCAACTGTAGTAATTTTGAAAGCTGAGTTGTACGGTTCATGTAAATCGCGTGTACCATCGCGTAACAATTTTGTTTACAATTAATTACTTCCATCTTGAATGTGCTTCGAAATGGAAGCCTGGCTGCCTCAGTCAGCAATTGATAGGGCTAATCTGTTTCATTGTAGGATAATGGAAAATCCGTTTCCTTATTTGGTCCTTCAATACCATCGGCATTGCGGTTGATGCCTACCTATTTAGGGAGTGGCCAATAACGACCTAGACGGTGTCGCGTGTCCGTCTCAGTCCCATCCGGCCGATGTCCCAGTCACACATCTGATCACTGAGCCGCTCTCTGGAGGCTCCAGGCAGACCCACATGGAACGTTCTAGAGTTGCCCGAGGTGGGAAGGCTCCAGAGCTGACCTGGACCGGCAGCTGGAAGCCTGCGGTATAGGGGTGGCTGAGGGAGGCGGTAGATTGGAGAATGCTGGGCGGCGGGTGGGATGGGGAGATAGATGCGGGTCGGGAGATCTGGTAGGCGTTAATGCCAGTGGGAGAGATATGCCTCGTTTGTAAATGCCCTGATGTTGCAGGAGAATGGAGGGCGAGCTATCATGCTTGCTATGGAACTGGTACAAAATAGCCTCTGGGCTGTGTGTCGGATATTTACGTCTTCCGAGAGTGGCATTGGGCATGTCCTTTCAGGGCGATATTTGCATTCACATAACTTCTAGCAGAGTTTCCGCTGCACTTCAGAAACAATCTTTTGTCGCATAGCTAAAATAGAATCATGAAGTCTCTTCAGTGAAAGCCCTCCGAAATATGAATGGGATCTGAGGCAGCTTTGGTAGTGGTTTTCGGTCCTTTTGCGTAGTTTGCACTGCACATCCGATACGAGTTTCAGCCGTTGAGCTTGGGGTTCTAAGAATATGCCGGTGCTATTTTGAGTTCAAACTTAGCCCGGATTTTCACTCAAATATCTTCTCGCTATCAACAGTTAACGCAACAACATTGAAAAGCATCAATCCCAGGAACGAAGCTTTCGCTTCAAAGGAATGCTGGTCGCTTGCTAAAGCCGGAATTCAGATCCACATTTAGACCAATGCAGAATTCAGACCAATATTGACCACCAAAGATGTAGCTCCATGATAACAATACCGTACATTCTATGAAAAGTGGGAAGTTCGTCGTACTTTATTTCTAACATACCACATAACATGAAACATACACCGATATGTTTGGCAAGGGTCTGATGCCGTGCACGTTTTTATACCATCAATCGCTGTCCTTCGAAGACATTTCCTGTTAACATTGAACCGAACTCTGTCCGGCTTACGGTATGCAGTGCCGAACTTTTGTTTACATTCAGAACAGGCTTTCGTTGGCCAGACGCCTGCAGTGGCTCAGTTTTGACACCCTCTGTACGCTGTCCTTGGTTGGTTCCGTTGACCTGCCCCCCGGTATGTGCACTCTGCAGACCAATGTTGATCCATGTGGTCGCCGTGCTTTGCTTCGAGCTGGGAAGTTTATTTAATTGAAGTGATCGCTGACCTGTGACCTCCACATGGATAGGCCAGAGATCATCAGTTGACCTCGCCCCGCGACTCCCAGTCCAGGGTGTCACTTGGGGGGGGGGGGGGGGGGGCTGCTGTCGGGTGATGAAATCTTATGTTTACCATTGTATGCCTTGTCCTTGTCAGTCTGTATAGTGTATACTGTCTCTGCCCCAGACAGTTGAACCAGTAACCGAAGGTTTGTTGTCAATAGTTAAAACACTATTCTTTAGAATTGTGTTTTTCTATTGAAAAACAAATCTGAGTTCCCTGACAATTTGGCAAAAGCTGCCTGAGATCAGTACAACTTGATGCTCTTGAAAACGGCTGGTCCAAAAATTCTGATTTTTTCAGGATTTCTAGTGGGCCAGGTGATCTACGTTCTGGTATGGGTTTCCCCTCCGCGGACCATCTGGTGCACGTGCCACGTGACTTTGAAAATTCCCGTGTTAAGCCAATGGGCAAAATGAAAAAATGCGTTCCACGGCAGATTGCTCGAAAACGATCCAAACGACCCCTCATTTTCTTCCATGCAGATCAACCACCATTCGGTGCACTACCCATGGGTATGTCGCAAAGTGGCCGGAAAAGTCCAGAACCACGTGCCACGTGCCGTTGAAAATGACCCTGCACACCGGAAATTGGGACTTTTGGTCATTTCGGCGCACCCATGATGCATACTATGGCGTGGGTGACCAAACAATGGGTGTCATCCGGTCGGCAACTGTTTAAGGTGTCGTCCAGTGGGCCAAAGTGGTAGTTTCAAACTTTTGGGATCCACCATTCTGGGGATTCTTTTTGACAATATACTTACGTTTCTTGGCGCAATGTTCATTCCACCCAGCCGGTCGTCAATGCGTTAGGTGACCCAAATGACGATTGACCTGAGGGAAGTTGGGGGCGAGGAACACGCACGTGCCATCCGTTTTTTAATCGGGCGCTTTCATCTAGGAGATTTTTGCAGATATCTTTTTGATTTGTTAAAATGACCAGCCTAGCGATATGCCAGTCGTTGATAAATTATTATCTTGCTGCGGCCGGGCGCTTATTTGCGGTGTTTGCGTTTGGCGGCTGGCGGGCGACTTTTAGTCGTTTTCGGTTAGCGGTTAGCGTCGGTGCGGTGCGGGCGGTTTTATTTTTTTCGGCGTTTTTTCTGTGTGGTTTGCGGCGGTCGGGCGATTTTTTTGCCGTTTGCGTTGGCTTTTCGGGCGGGCGTTTTACACGTTTTGCCGTGTTTACGTTTTGCGGCGGGCGGGCGTTTTTGTCTTTGGCGGCGGGCGGGCGGGCGGGCGATGCGGGCGGTTTTCTTTTTTTGCGTCGTTTGCGGTGTTAAATTTGTTTGCGGTTGGCGGCCGCTTTTTCGTTTTTTTTTGCGTTTTTTTTTCTTTGGCGGCGGGCGGGCGATTTTTAGGCGTTTTTGGTTGGCGGTTAGCGGGCGTGCGATGCGGGCGGTTTTATTGTTTTGCGGCGTTTTTGCGGTTTTTTTTATTTGCGGTTTGCGGCGGGCGGGCGTTTGCTTTTTTTGCAACCTTTGCGTTGGCGTTTCGGGCGTGCGTTTTGCGCGTTTTGCGGTGTTTGCGTTTTGCGGCGGGCGGGCGTTTTTCACAATTCAAAGTTCAAACCTTCGGGCCACAGCGCTCCTCGAAAAGCGCTGCCCTCGAGTAGTCGTTGCTATGCTGGGCCACTTGTCTCAAGTGTCTCACAGTATGCCTCCCTCCAAACGGTGTTTTTTTTCCGGCCGTGGAAATGCTGTATTCCCGGTCTGTGTCTTATTTGTCTCTTTTTGTCTCACCGGATGTCCCTCGCACTGTGTCTCACTTGTGTCAGCTTTGTCGCCTGTATCACATGTCTCACCCTGTGTCTCTTGTCTCCCTGAGGCGGTCTTCCCACCAACCGTGGCGCTCCTGTGTCTCAATTGTCTCGCATGGCTCACCCCATGTCTCTGTCTTCCTCAGGCGGTCCTCGCACCAGCCGTGGCCAGCCGCACCTCTTCAAGACTGCGTGCGACGCGCCACCAACCACGATGACGTCACGACCAATGAGCGCGAGCCGGCGGCTGTCACGTGGCCGCCCTCGGTCGAGACGGAGCCAATCACCGTGCCCAGCTCGGAGCGGTCACAGGTGCGTGCGCTGAGCGGGGTCAAAGGTCGCGCACAGGGGTCACGTGAGGTGGAAATGTCAGATGTCCAAGAGGTTAGGGGTTTGTAAAGGGGTTGTGAGGATTGTAGGGGGCACATGGACAGAAAGTTCACATATAGATCTGAGAGGTCCAGATGGATGACAAGTACGGAGTATTCAGAGAGTTGAGATATAGAGAGTTGAGATCGGTATTTGTGGGCTCAGAAGACCGTCAGAAAGGACATGTTCTATAAACATGGGTGAAATAGCCTGTACCGTTATGAACGGGAACCAGATAACGTCTTATCAATTGAAAACATCCTCGTGCGTAATGCGTCTCTTTAAAACGCCAACGCACCGGGCTCTTAGATAAGTTGTTGTTGAACTTACCAAACTCTTTCGCTTCCGGGTGCTAGCGGCTGCTATTGTTTTTGCAGTTTGGTCCGGCCGGGTATTTTGCAAGTCGATTCGCTCCTTTGCTCACGTGTCGGCAGATCGCGCTGAGATACGGCTGACCGGTTGCGTACGCGTGTAGTGCGTGAAAATCTCGCTACTCGGTATTCTACCTGCTTGGACGGGGCGGATAACACAAGTGGAGTCGGTATTGTGACGTCAATCGCACAAAAGGTGCACGTGTACTGAAAACGAGATCATCTGGCTTTGATGGTGATAATGTGCGAAGTGGCGACAGAACTAGTGTAGCCGGTATTATTTAGGCTGGGGTTGTCAGATTCCTATCAATGAGGAAGTGACAATCTTCAAGGACGATACCCGAGCCAGAAGAGAGGCGATTTCCGGTTTATGACGGCTGTGTCGTAACGATACGGCCCACTGGTATCTTACACCTATCCATTGTTTTCCTGGACGTTGTCGGATGTTCTCTACACCGTTATCCGTCGTTGTTTCGAATGAGGCGCAGAAAAACGTGTTTGTTTATCGAGTAAATACGAGCTCGAATGTGCTCTGCGGTTGAAGTATCGACTGTTGAAAAACATGGGTGGTGACGGAGCGTGCTGAGTGGTGCCACATCACCATTTGGTGACGATGGTGGTGCCTGCTCTGTTGGGGGGGCGTTAGGGGGGGGGGGGTCTGGGACACGTCCTTGAATTGAAGGGGAGCAGGAATGCTGATGCGCATTTGGAACGAATCCATATCATCATGGAACTTATTTTGTTGTTTATTTAATGTCACATCAAAAATGATTTCGAGTAAATATTTTGTTCCTTCACTAGATAAATCAATGGGTTGATGGCGACATTTATGAGAAGTCCCTCAATAAATTTAATGATCTGCATTGAACTCTAAACATAGATTAATAAGGTGATGTATTTAGATTCCACATGCACTGACTTTTTTATCAACATATTATATTTCCATTCAAACCGAATCCCGTATCGACCCTGCCCGACCCTGTGGGTAATTTCATTGATCGGCCACCGTAGTCCCGGCGTCGTGGGGGGTCGATATCGTCTGGAACCTGTCCGCACACGTGGGTCAGGGGTCACCGAGCGTGACCGGCCCCCTGTTTTGGAACAATCAATTCCAGTTGTCATGTGCCGTTCATCGCGGCCCGCTGGGGTCGTGAGGGTGGGCGCAGGAATGTCGTCGACGTCATCCCTCCCCTCCCCTTCCTGTCCCTTCTCCCCGGTGGAAATTCCTGACCCTGTGGGTGGTGTGGTCACTCCCGATTACCGAGGGGAGAGGGGGACAAGTTGTGACACGTTCCGAGGGGGCATGCTGTCATCTTATGACCCCGTGACTGGTTTAACCACAACACCTAGGAAACCTACGTTTCCGTCGAGAAAAATAAAGTGATATCACATAGGTCATAATTGTCATTTCTTACTTCTGGGTATGATTTCAAGTATGTTTCACCCACTCTCTGGTATGCCTGGTGATATCATGTTACGTCACTTGGTGACTTATGCTACACACCTGTTTATCCCAGCTTTGTTCTGTCTGTCACCACAGCGGATTTCCTGAGGAAGTGTGAAGGATTTTCAGCATGATGACATTCTTTGGACATTTCTTAGGCGTTAGTTTGAGACATGAAGAATGAGGTGAGGGCTTTTCCACAAAAAAATCGCGCAATTTCAATAGTATGATGCAACACGATGAGCACGGGGTCTCTCGCTGTCTTACGATTCATCGCACGTTAGCAAGACTTGAATCGCACGGGCAACTCTTGCTGTATCCGTTGTTGCCAACTGAAGCAAGCTGTCGTCATCAGCTTCCAGGCGACCTCGGTCCATGCTTGACTCGTCACCATGACACCACCCATGACAGAGTCATAATGACTCTCATGACGTCACTCGGGGTGGTGACGTCATGTAGTGCCGCCGGCGAGTTGGAGCGGGCCTACCCCTGCCGGCAGCGGTCGGGACGGTCGGGGCGGTCGGAGCGGTCGGATGGACGGTCAGTCGGTCGGAGGCCAGGGTCGGGGTCGGTCGGTCGGTCGGTCGTGGTCGGACTATCGGTGTTTGACTCAGTGTCAGAGTCAGTGTCGGAGTCAGTGCTGGGCTGTTCGGTTTTTGGTCAGGTGTCTACCCGATCAAGCCAGTGGAGGATTCCTTCTAGTTGACTGATTAGTGGCGTAGTTAGGAGAATATGGCGATCGGTAAAATGCTGGTAGAGTTTGTGGAAGAACCTAGGAGATATCAGGTAAGGAAACCCCCTCAAAGGTGTATTTCCGCTCTCACGTGGGAATATTGACACTTGTGGTGCAGGTATGCCTGAGTTATGTCGGTTGTTTGCCAATTATCCACTTCTGCGTGACATTCATTGGTCAACAGTTGGCTGTCATGATTTTATCACAAAGGTAACCCAATTTCTACTCTGTCCAAAATCGTATATTGATGCCTCTCTGTTTCGCTCATTTCCGGTTCACCAACATGCCCTCGCGGTGACCCTAGCTGACCTGCCCTCTGTTCCTTTTCAGGGGTACGACCTGCCGACGCCGTGGTCGCCCGTCTACACGGACGAGGTCATTGACGAGTCGTCCCCCACCTCCAGTAGCGGCAGCGACTGCGCCGACACGCCGCCGGCCATCATGCAACAGGTAGGTCCGCGGTTCGATTCCCGACGGGGGCTGTTTTATTTTTATGTTGATTTTGTAAAATACAGGGTGATTTTTCAATATTGTCGTTTAAATGTGTTCAGCATAATCTAATTAATATTTCACAGTTTATTTTTTTCGTTTGGCGTTTTGTTTCAGTTTCAGTAAAACTAAAGTAACACTTCTTTGAAGTTTGATCTTGAAATAAGCGGCGCATTTCATGAATTTCATGCCAAATGATTAATGGATTGGTCGTCCGTTGATTGACCTTCATCCTGCCATGACTTCTCGATGCGTCATCGGCCGAGTCTAATCTTAGCAGCCTGAATCAATGACCTCAGTAGTAGAGTTGCAAAATTTCCCTACCGCACTACCGGCATGCCGGTAATTTTTCACTACCGCAGGTTTTTTCGTGGTATCTGGCATGTCTTGCCGGTAGCATGCCGGTATTTTTGATTTTGCACAAAAAATTATCAGCATATGATTCAAACTTTGGACACTAAGAGGCTATTGAATTGTAATAAGTTGGACAATGGGTGGCTGTTGGGTGGGGCGGTTACTGAAATTGCCAAAATGTGGCATCTCATGTAGGGGTAAGCCAGAATCAAGAATGCAGGTTTTTTAGTATGCCGGTAATTTGGCGGTTTTTTTGCTTGGGGCGTGGTAGCATGCCGGTATCCCAGAAAATGTTTGTGGGGCGGGGCGGTGCCGGTAGCAGCCCATTGGGAAAACTTTGCAACTCTACTCAGTAGTGTCGAGCGCGAAAATCCACTCTGGTGGGTGTACACTGCGAGTGGCACCGACCCAACCCCGCGCCGCTACGTCACTGGATCACTAAATCCGGACGGTGGGGAGTCGTGGTCAGCTCTAATTCCGGACACCCCGACCGGATGACGCACCGGATGACGTGCTGGCGTCATCACGTCATCGGCGTCACCGTCAGCTGATCATCACAGCTGAGCGTCATTAGGGAAAATCCGACTAAACGGGTTGAGATTTGATCGCAGGCTCTCTCAGCAGGCGTGCACGGTGGGAGTTTCGAATGTAAGATCGGTTAGCCTTCGGTTTTGCTTTAGTCGACGTTATGCTCGCTCTGTCAGCGTAAAAAACGGCCCCGTCAACAAAGTTGTAGGTAGTCGCGACTGCCAAGAATGTGCTGTCTCTTCAAGTCGGGTTCGTAGTCTGCTAGATTTTAGCTGAGGTGGTGAAATTCGACCCACTGGTTTAAAGAAACGGCTTAAAAACTAGCGACAGTGTCGGGTTAAAAACGTCGTCGCCTCATACCCGAAGGGCAGCCAACAAAATTTGTCCTTGGATATATTTTCGTATCAGTCTCCGGGTGTCCCACCGGCCTACATAAACATTTGTCGGCTGGAGTCACCCGTGGGTGCATTCCTGGTCCTATGACGTCATTGGGACGAGTTGCCAGCTCTGTCACTTCTCGGCACGCCGCCCAAAAGACGAGTGTCGTGCCCGGAGCAGGGTGACTGCAACGCTCTGCCAACACCGACCGCCTAAAACCGGTATGGACCGGAGCTGATCGCACGTGACTCCTCAGGGACTAGGCGGTATACCCAGGGATGCGGAGCCGTGGAAATTTCAGACGGCTCCGGCTCCGGCTCCGGCTCCGGAGAAAAAAATCGGCTCCGGCTCCGGCTCCGGCTCCGGGTGAAATGTTGTGGCGGCTCCGGCTCCGGCTCCGGCTCCGAGTAAAATGGTCCGGCTCCGGCGGCTCCGGCTCCGGCGGCTCCGGCTCCGACTCAGTACATCCCCTATGCAATCAATTAACCCTCGCATGTGTAGGGGGGAGGGGTCGGATGGACCCCCCCATGGCTTTTCGCGAATAACTCGCGTAAAAAGCGGCCGATCGCGACGAAACTTTCAGTACCCTCGCATTGATCAATTTGACACCTACCCTGAAAATTTCATGACCCTGACCCAAATGACCTTTGACCTGTGACCTCTTTTCCGAGACCATGTTTGGCCGGAATCGCGATTTCGCGTATGTCGGCTCGCACTAGCCGCGTGTTTGCAAGCTTTTCGTGGTTTCAAACGTTCAAACATGTGATTTGATGTTACTCCCGTGTGTGTCAAGGTCACCTGAAGGTCAGGTCAGGTCATTAACCTTTGGTGACCTCGGGTGACCTCGGGTCACTTTTTCGAGTTTTACATGTTTCTAGGCTAGTTTTTGGAGCTGAATTCGAATTTAGCAACCATTTGAACATTTACGAAGTAGTTTTGGTGACTTCGTAACATGTTACGAAGCTGTCAGAGGCGGTTGACACGTACTACGAATACCCGTCACGACGCCTACTGGTTGACCTGACCTGACCTGACCCGACCTGGTCTAAATGCTTCAAGACATCATCTGTGATCAAAACTAACACGATATTCGTGATCAGCACCCCAAAAAAAAAAACCCTTAGCAGCCACACTTTACGACTTTCTAACAGGTCCCGATTTTCCCGACTTTGGGTCATTGACCTGACCTGGAAGGTCAACCAATGACCTAGGACCTTAAAATTGGATATCATCGGCTTCCTCTCGTGACGGGCAACACGCTCGTTTTTTTCCGCGAAGCTCTAGCTTGATCAGGGGCCAAACGGCAAGGGGGGTGGGTCCAACCGACCCCCCCCCCTACACATTAGAAGCTGGCAAACGCCGCACACATGCGAGGGTTAAATACAGGTGGAAGAAAAATTGGATTGGTTATACGCGTTACTCTTTGCCATGACCGGCTCACCGCGTCCCCGCGCAAACGCACCTCGGAGAGAACTGGCAGAACAAAGAACTAGGAAGCGATGGCATTGGAAACGCAGTCGCCGCGAATTGGAGTTCACTGAACCATCGTAAGCTGACACCAGTCTCGGCTGCATTGGGGGTGGGAGTGGGGGGGGGGGGTGGGGGGAGGGGAAGAGACGGTGCTTGGAGTTGCAGTCCACTGCACTGGCTTCAAAACAATGGCCGTCACTTGATGACCGGTCCTCATGCTCTGGGGATGCCGTAGACGTGGGGGGGAGGGAGGAGCAGACAAGAAGTTGATTACGTACTGTGGGATACTGGGGATATTCGGTTTTTTTCATTCACTTGATGGCCCATGACGTAAGTAAAGTACCATATGTTTTATTGCCTTGTACTGTCAAACCGAACTAGGTCAATTATTTTTTTCCTCTTCAAAAAATAAAAAAGGAGCCGGAGTCGCCCCCTTTTTTGGCGGCTCCGGCTCCGGCTCCGGCTCCGGGCTATATTGTTTCACGGCTCCGGCTCCGGCTCCGGCTCCGGGCAAAATATGCCGGCTCCGGCGGCTCCGGCTCCGACTCCGGCTCCGGCTCCGCATCCCTGGGTATACCAATGGCAACGTCATGATTTTGAAGGTGGCTTTTTGAGTGTCATTTAGCCTGAGGTGACGATAGGTGCGTTGCGGGCTAGTCTACCGGTCCAGGCGGCCGCGGCGGCTGTAGACCGCGAGATGTGCTGTGCGGTACAGTCTATCCGCCAGGCGCTCCGGCTGAGGTGTATTGCGGGTCAGGCTACCAGTTCAGTGATAGCTCCAAATCGCCCGCATAAAACTCGTGAAAACGGAAATACAAGTGTATTTAAAGCCAGAAGGATAAATTAAATTCCATCCAATGTTTAGAACGTTGTGTAGACGACGGCAAAGTCCACTGTAATATCTCAGTAAGACTACGACAAAAAGTTTTAGTCACGGATCATAATGCTCCGTACCAATTCCTATCCCATCCAGCCTTCCCTTCCAATTCTGGCATTTAATCTCCTATATTGGTGTCTAACAAAGTCTCTATCTCTTCCACAGATCATGTGTCGTCACGAGCAGCAGCGCGAGTCAGAGCGGCTGGCCACGTTCCCCCGCTCCAGGGATAAGGCGGTGCGACCGTCGAGGGAAGTTCGCCGCCGACGCCACAGCCGTGGAGATGGAAAGGTTAGTGGGGTGCGGTATAGGACGTTAGTTTAGTACGGCATGCTTGGTTAGTCACAGACGTTCCTTTTAGTTGTATTTTTCAATTTCAGACATTTTTTGAAAATTGCATACTGTGTAAACCCACTGACGTATGTAATATCCATTCAGTGAGAGTCGCACTTCAGGATAGTCAATTCGTGTGCGTGAGTTCGCGGTTCCAGAGAAAGCGTTTATTCATGAACCGCCCAGTTTTATCAAAGTGAGGACGTCTGTACGGTTTGCGTGTGTGTGGGTCTGGCCATGTTTGTGTGACGATCGCGTGAGAAACAAGATCAGCCGATGGCTTGTTTTCGCCCTATCCCACTCAGCTATCAATATATGGCCGGAGGCTATCAGTGTGGGTCTAAATTTAGCCGGATCTCGTGACATGTATGGCGCTGGATGGCCCGCGATGGCGATTATCGGGTATCACGTAACTGGCTCAGTAAAGCGACTGCTTAAATATACCATCAGTCAGCTAAAAATATCCTCCAAATAGCTATTATCACGCTGGATTCGGTCTAAATATATTCTGAAGGGCTAAATTTGGAACTTAGATCATTGCGCAGGGTATAATTGCTACAGCTGGATTACCTGCTAGATGAATAGCGTGAACTTGCTTAAACTTGATCTAACTGAACTTACTGAACTTATCTGAACTTCAACCTATTTAACTTTACTTGAATTATGGGACGTTTGAACCCGAGCCTCTTGATTCCTTCACAGTTACAATCTAATAAGCTTTTCTCCTGTCATATTTATTGCTACCTGACAGCGAATGTATTTCTCGATACCATGACGGCGTCTGCATTCCTCCCACCCTGACGGCCGTCCTCCCGCCTCCTCCCCCAGGACTCCTCTGTGAGCAGCAGTCAGCCGGAGGACGCCGAGGAGGAGTTTGAGGAGGAGGAGGAGCTCTCCGACTCGGAGGCAATTCCTCCGCTGGACCTGGATAGCATGGCCGGATCGGAGCCCATCCCCAGCTCTGTGCTGAAGGGCAGGCAGCTGGTGAGTGCGGGGAGAGGGATGGAGTGGGGTAGGGAAAGAGAGAGACAGGGAGAGGGAGGGAGAATTGAGTGGGGTTTGGAAGAGGGAGAAAGACAGACAGAGAGGTTTACAAGAAAGGAAACAGGACTTTTGTTGTCCCAAGGGTTGGGACTTTTCATATATACGTTTGATGGCGCATGAAATGGACTGGCCAGGTCGAGAATCACCGCCTGTCCTAAGTTAATCCGTGGGCTTTCATAGAGACCTAAAGCAGCACGTGACGCAAATCAAACAAAATTGCTATCCCGTCCGTAATAAATGCTGTGCTAAATCGGTCCGAGGCTGAAGGAGACCTACGTGGTAAACCTCAGCTCTCACACTCCCAGAAATATGTGAAAGGAGATAAATGCCACCAGAAATGTGTGAATGAATGGAAGTACCCACCATTCAGCATTGGTCATTGATGTGGTCGGTCAGGCCTAGTCCCGTGCCGTTTTTAGACGTTGCCATTCACCAAAGGTGTCAGTCAAGTACCGCCACTGCTGCGTAGTGGCTTTCTTGATCGGTGCGATTTCATTTGCAGTTGAGTGGAATATTGAGAGCTATTTTGGAGTGACTGCGTGGAGGGGAGAACTGCGTAGCAAAGTAGCGTCAATGATTGATGAGTTTATGGGCAGTGAATGGAACTATTTTTAGAGCACATGCGTGGGATGTATAAATGATAACTTGCTGAGATGGCTAAAATGGGAACCCAGTGACAGATGATGTCCGGAACAACCGACTTTGACGAAGTTTCGGATGTTGAAGTACCGTTTTGGGCCTCCTATCTGTCATATCGGTCTGTCTGTGGTTTCATTCTATCTAGGGTCTTTGCCCTTGGATTTTTGACCGTTGTGATGCGCCTTAGAAAACAAAGATGATTATACTAAATTAACTACGCTTGCGGTTCTCCCATCAGACCATTTCGTGGAAATTCCTTTGCTATCACGAGCATTCGTGCTTCTCATGAGAATCACATGCATCTTAAGCGCTATGGAAATTCCGAAATGAAAGGCTGGAAAGCGATATAACTAAGAATATGCCGTTATTCAGACGTGTATTCAAATACCGTCAATGCATTCTGAGGGGCGTAATCTCTCCACATCCTCTTGTTCTTGAACACCTCTTATCGATGTGTCATCTTACTCAGACCTTACCATTGCTATGTCCCCTTTCAACAACTCTAACCTTGTCTCCCCCTCTCCACAGACTGAGGACGAGGCCATTCTCTCCCCTCGCAATTCGTTCGTTCTGCCGGATGCCGAGTTCACGGAGCAGCAGGCCAAGCTGTGCTCGCGCTTCAACGAGCGCCTGCCGGCCTCACCCGGGGCCTCGAGCCCCTCTGAGCCGCGCTCCCATCAGCTGCGTCAGACCATAGCCAGGTAAGAGATGTTGTTGTTGTTGTTGTTGTTGTTGTTGTTGTTGTTGTTGTTGTTGTTGTTGTTGTTGTTGTTGTGGCCGTTGCTGTTGTGGTTGTTTTGCTTGGGTCGGCATTACCCAGCCAGTGTGTAGCCAGTGTGTCTGGCATTGCGAAGCAAGGGTGTCTAAGCTCAAATCCTGGCAAAGTGTTGATGTCTTAGCTTGTAAATTGACATATTGTGCTCGTGAATTGACACATACACATTTTGACACCTAGACACTGACACCGACACTATTTAACGCTTCCTCGTCTCTTTGTCCACAGTGCCAAGAGGAAAATCCGCGCTTACGAGGAGTCCTTCGAGCGTCGCTTCGGCTACCGGCCTTCGCACGCCGACAGAGCCAAAGACCGCGAGGTCAAGCGCTGTCTCTCTGAGCTGAGCAAGGCCAGACGCGACCTGAAGGCTCTGAAGCAGGATCCCACGCCGACCCCCGCCAGGCCGGTGGAGCGGGTCGATACAACGCTCGCCGGAAAGGAGAACCGCTCGCCGCCCGAGGGCGAGGGAGAGGGAGAGGTCGAGCGGACTCTGCAGCAGACTGTGGCCGATGTAACCAGGGTGAGTACAACTGGGAGTCTAAGGGTGAAGTGGGTGATTCAAATCCTCATAGCGAGAGGCATTGAAGTTCCAACCAAGCTGAGTCACCTATTTCTAACTATGGACAGCTCGACGTTATATTCCGTTAGTGACTTAGGAGGGATGAGTTTGTGTGACTCTTATGTTATTTGCTCTTATTAGTTGCCTAGCGCTCTTAGCGGTCTTTGAATACCGCCAACTTGTTCGATGTTTTTTGGGCACTAATCTGTTGCAACATACCTCCTCCTTATCCTGTGGTCCCTCTTCCGATTTGTGTTTGTCCTACCTTGTGTCCTCTCTATATTATCTTCTGTCTCAATTTTAACCTTCCCCTTTCTTTCACAGCGCCTGACGGAGAAGCGCGAGACTGCTGGCCGTCCCACCGAGCCCGACCGCATGTCCCGCGAGCAAGTTCTGGCTGAGAAGCTGGCCCTGCAGAAGGCGCTGCTGTGCCTCGAGGAGCGTCACGGCCGGCCCGCTCACAAACGGGACAGGGACATGGTGCGGCCGCTGTACGAGAGATACCGGCTCGTGAAGAGGCTGGCCATCAAGTCTGGATCGGTGAGTGGATGACGGGGCACTGTGGGGATTTGATTTACTTGTTAGGGTATTATTTCGTTTTTGAATGACTTACTTAGTGTTAGTGTTCAAATGAGAATGTATGGATAATGATGCTCGATTGATTGGCATTTGTAAATTAATGCATAAATTTTGTTTTATCTCTTATGGGCTGATGTCGTTTTGAATTTGGCGAGTTCAAGGCTAGTACTGACCAGTTTCTCGCCTCTTTTCCACAGCCGAAGCTGCGCGACTCGATTGGCGAGCTCACCCCGATTCTGGAGCACGAGACCATGAGCTTCACGGCCGCCGACCGGCCCGCCATCTGTGAGCGCGACGACGAACTAGAGCCTAGCGGCGGCCGGTCGCCAGGCGGCGTCACCGATCGCCTGCAGCTGGACGACAACCTTCACAACCTGCCTGTCTCAGAGCTCCGCAACCTGCTCGGAAAGGCAAAGGAGGACAAGCGGAGGATCCGAGGACTGCTGCTCGTGTTCGAGGAAGACTTCCGCTCCAATGTTGGCCGGAAGGTGAGCAGGGACAAGAGAAGGGTTGACGGCGATGATGTGATATGGACGTATAAACGAGCAACTTATGGCCCGCGCTTGAGCTGTCATTGCTATTCTAAGTAATTAAGTCTTCTGCGGCGAACATACTGATGATTTGGAGTTTCATTTTAATGCTGATGACGGCGAGGCAAAATTTTGTCTTTGCATTCTTGCTGTGTCCTTCAGTATCGGCGCAAACTAAGAGCGTTAGACCTAGAAGATCCCAACCAATCCTTGATAACCATATGTGTCTGACGAAACCCGTCTTTTCTGTTCACAGGTTCAGAAGGACGACCGGGGCGAGATGGACGACATGTATTCCGAATACAAACAGGCCAAAGCCAAAGTCAAGCTACTCGAAGTTCTGGTGGCCAAGCACCGTTCCCGAGCCTACACCATGTGAACTGATAGACCGGACGCTTTGGTGGCAGTGGAGCGGCTGCTTGTGCTGCCATCTATTGACACCCATGACGAACTAAACTGTGGACATCTAGCGGCGAGCTGACGAACTGAAGCTGTATTGTATGGCGCCAGATGGAACTGAGTGTGGGCGGAAGAGTGGGCCACTGCTATCGACAAGAGCTGTACATATATATTTGAGCTGTGAGCTCGCAGAGCTGTGATTGTGAGGGCCCGAGGGTGGGCGATGCAATTGTTGTTCAGCGTTTCAGGGGATCGAGGCTTATCGGCTCTACTCGAATGTTGGCGTCTCGTTGGACCTTATGATCGCGGCGCTGTTTTGGACGTTGCGAGCGTCGCTGTTGTGCTTGGTAGACGGAACGAAGAGCAGCTGTTATGTATCGGCAAAGTGTGCCGTATGTCTAGTGGTGTATGCGTATTATTTATTACATACGGACGCTCCCAAACCAGTGGGAATATGGCGGGCCAGCGGCACCGGCCACTGAAAACAAATATCGCGACAAATATACGCAGAGTTGTCGTAGATAATACTTGTTTTGACGGAATAGTGGACTGCACACCAAACACACCAAACACTCAAGTGACCAAACACTGGTAGCTCAGCGACAGTAGAAACACTTTTCAAAGAGATGCCTTCGGTTAGAGGAAGCGAGACAAAGGAACATCATGTTTCCCAGGGGCGGAACTGAATAGGAATTAGCCGATCGATCGACGGAATGGATTAATGGAAACCACGAATGTCACTGTACATAACGAACAGAAAGGCAAGAAAAAGAAACCTATATCCTCATTTCGTGACCCTATCCCGTCTCTCTGTCTCTATCTAGCTATATTTAGCCTATCGTCTCTAAGAGCAAATCCGAAACTCGAATTTAGTCTTGGAAAACTGCGCCGCCGCTCGAGTGACGATGCTTTTTTTGCGCTACGTGACTCCAGGTGGCGGAACTCACAGACCGCGAATGGTATCGACTCGTTATCGACTGGTAGGCCCACAGCGCATGCGCGGTGGTTCAGTCAATCAGCCCCCCACCCCCCTCCCATGGGGGATGGGGCGGGGATAATCGTTTTAGCGATTATCGGCTTTGTGGGCGCTGGCGACACGATGGAGGGGGGGGGGGGAGGGGGGATAGTGACAACAACACGATACGCATGCCCATGCGGGGCCGCGGGCACAACGTAAAGGCCTGGCTACATACACTATGCGTCTTCTGCGTGCGTTTTTGCGAGTTTGCGTGTTTTGCGTAATAACGTTCTAAGGAAAAAAAACGATATTGTTATCGAGGTGTTTTATATTAAATTTTAGTTACATATTAAAGGGTATTAACTTTGGTATATAGTAACTAATCAACAACTATTATTAAAGACTAAAGTTTTATTATTTATAACTTTTTCTAGAACGATATTACGCAAAAAAACGCACGCAGAACACGCATAGTGTAGCCAGGCCTTAAAAGGTAGTTAACGCCGTATTTTGGTGTAGGAGAAGCTTTGAAACTGCACTCTGGCCAAGCATCTTTTGCTACATAGGTATTTCAAGTTTTTAAGGTCAATTTATTAGGCAATACCTCAGATTTATGTAGGTATATCATGCACATTGCACATTGCTCAACTTAAATGTTGAAGGCCAGAAGTGTGTTAACGTTCAAAAGAACAAGTGTGCCATTTTTGCAAGTCTTCCCGTTCACATGACGTTCGGGGACGCGAACATGGGAGGGGCTGCGAGCCCCCTAACCTCTACCTCTTGGTAACTGGCAGGGTCGATGGGAGAGAGAGAGAGAGAGAGAGAGAGAGAGAGAGAGAGAGAGAGAGAGAGAGAGAGAGAGAGAGAGAGAGAGAGAGAGAGAGAGAGAGAGAGAGAGAGAGAGAGAGAGAGAGAGAGAGAGAGAGAGAGAGAGAGATAGAAAGAGGGAGAGAGAGAGAGAGAGAGAGAGAGAGAGAGAGAGAGAGAGAGAGAGAGAGAGAGAGAGAGAGAGAGAGAGAGAGAGAGAGGAGAGAGAGAGAGAGAGAGAGAGAGAGAGAGAGAGAGCTAAGAACAAGTAGAACGGCGGATTGAAATTTGAAAGATGGAGAGAGAAGAAAAGGTCAACTATACAAACTAAAGGGCGAGAGAGGAGGTATTCGCAAAAGCCGAGAAAGTTGCAAGGAGAGACAGGGAGGTAAGATGTAGGAAAAGTAAGTATTGAGGTATACGAGCTTGGTTGTACATTTATATTTGCGTCTTGTCACTTAAAGGAAACAGTCCACTTTCCTGAAATCAGTATTTTGCTATTGATTTATGATTTTTTATGCTCAAAATAATCATGAAATAAAATAAAACCTTTTTGTAAAAACAATTATTTTCTATATTTTAATATAGGACGAACTATATTCTATGTAAAATAATGTTTGACGCGGAAGCTTATTACGCATTGACCAATCATATTGCGTAGCTCAAACCTACGCATACTGCATTGGCTGTAAGCAGCACGCTGATTGGCTGACGATGACGTGGCTGCATTCCTGTGCAAGGCACGCATTCCTCTACAAGGCACTCTTTTCGGAACGAGAAATGGAATATCTTCGTCTAGGGTGATCGTTGAGCCGTAAAAGCTCCTGATTTGTGCTAGTCTCAGCTCAAGCTACGAAACTGCTATTCCAGCTCAAAACCCCATGTTAAAAGTGAACTATTTCCTTTCACCTGATTTAGCCTGACTACCTGTTAGTTGGTGTGTCGGCCGTTCAGCTGGCGGCTACAACACTGGAGCTCAGCGATCATGCTCCATAAAAAGGCCCTAAAGGCTAAAACATATCCATAGTCCATAAGAGAGACCACTCTTCCCCTCCCCTCCCTCCTCCTCTCCTCCCCCACCCCAGCCGCTCGGCAAACAAGTTTCTGCTTAGGAGACGTTTCTAAGCAACCCGGGAACATTTCCTTTGCGCAATCCAGATTCAGAGTAAAGAGAAGGCGAAGGAAGACCATTCACTATTCTTCAGTTGACACCAAAATAATTTGTTGGTCATAATCAAAGATCATTGCACTGCAATTCATGTTTCATGCCTTATTTCGTTCGTGAAAGGCTGTCCCCCTAGCGGCAAGCTTGTGAACTAAGCACTGGGGGACTGAACGTGAAATGCGGCCCATGAGATGTTTGAGTTGATATTGCGTATGCTTGGTCGCGATCAGGTTATGATGGAATTGTGAACTTTCTGCGTCTGGTGATTGGCGGTGAAGTGATTTTGTGAGTGTAAGTGAAGTGATTAGTGCTGCGTTGGTGCCGAACAGTGCTCACTGCTCGACGGTGGACAGTGGACACTGACACTGGCCCGTGGCCGTGAGAAGCGAACTTCTCGTGCGACTGCGATCCGGAAGATTACTTTGCGAATTTGGGTGAATTATCGAGTAGTCAGTAAGTGATGTGAGTTTGAGTGAGAATAGTGTGTGAGCGTCGGTCGCCTGCCACCAGAAATGAAAAACTTCATCAGACACCACTTTTCGTCTGGGAACCTTCTACGAGATTCGTGGAGCCTCGGATCCAGAATGGTCAGTCCGTTCCAGTAGTCCACACTGGAACGGTATCCCATTATTTATCGTGTGTCCTGTTTTTCATATTGATATCTGATGACGGATGCACAGTGGCCCTTTTCCAGAATTAGCACGCATAAATTCAAAATATTTTTTTCTCTTGGTTTGAGTAAAAAGCAGTCTAATCGTGTGCAAAACATTCCAAACTATCCGATGGTGCCATTTTTACCTCCTAAAAAATATTGCCTTTGGTAAAACTGACCGCAAAATCGAAGTTTGTCGAGAGGCGCGCGGACACCACCGGCGGACCCTAAAAAGTAGGGTGATATGAACATCAATTTGGAAGACTTTCGATGAGAAAATATTAACAATTAGTGGCATGGCTGTGAAGCTGAGTTTACGTAGAAGCCCTAGAAGCCCTAGATTTTCATTGTATAAACTTAAATAGACCACTTTTGCCGAATATTGTGGACACAATAACAGGACAATTATTAACTGGAGATGGCGGCATACATATGAAGCTTTATGTTAAGTAGCACACTCTGGAACATGTCGTATTATACATCGTTCGAATCGCCGATCTCTTCTGACCATGTCCACCAAAGGGCATCGCGCCATTTTGCGCCATTTTGCTTCTACGGTGGATAACGTGAGCCAGTTCAGTCCGCGAGCGGCTGTGGCTCCTGTTCGATACGACTAAGCTCGTTGACCTGGCTCGAAGCTGGTGTCACCTGGTGTGGGCCTAAATGTGGCTTGACTTTTGCCATAAGATGTGCTAATTGAAATGTCATGTAGGCATAACGCTGTGCCCAAGAAAAACTCCGATTTCTTGTCGCGTTTGATGTCCAAGCCGCACAAGTCCCGTGGTCGGCTTAAGATCTAACGTCAAAAGCGCCTATGCGTTTGTATTGTTCGCGTCGCGCTGACCTTGTTGCTGCCCGGCCGGGGCCGACTAACGGTGGCTGGCAACAGCTGTATATGCGGTCACGTGACGCCCTGGGGCGTCAGTGCAGCGCGGTCGGCTGGCGGGCTCGCCGCACTTGCGTTTGGAGCGGCCTGGGCCGGCGGGCGAGCCGTGCGAACGTGCGCCAAATCTTGGGCCGAGCGGCCTGTCGCCGTTTGGCCGAATCTCCTTGGGCAGTTTTGGGGCAGTTCGTTTCTTTTCTTCTCTTTGCATTGGCAGGGAATACGTCCTTGATCACGTGGTGATGTCTTGCACCACTTTCGGGTAATGTGGGAATTAATGCGTGCTAATTCTGAAAAAGGGCCACTGTGGGATGGTTGCATGACCCGCCTATTTTGTGTCTATCCAGGGACCACAATTGATCCTGAGGGAGTAAAGACTTTCATTCAAAAAGTCTCGCATGAAGGAGAAGCTCAAAGTTTATATAGGCCCGCTTTATTCTAAGCCACCTTCGCCAGTGATATGCCTCGTTCTAACCGTGTGTCATACATGACTCATGTCAAGACGCGCTGCCCATTCTGGACGGCTGCCCCGCCTCCCTCCCTCCCTGTCCCGGCGCCTCCCGGCCGCCGCGGGCAGCGCTCACCCGAGTCAGGTCAGCAGCTGACCGCCGACCGGCCGGCAAAGGTCAACGAAGGTCAGCAAACTACGCACAGCATTCTTAATTTATCACTGGCCAGGGTTGGACACTTAAGGATTTGTCTTTGATAATATTTGTGGAATGCAGTGCAATTAGGAAGTACCTTAATGCAGCTATTTTTTCTCTCTCTTTCAATTTTAACTGTCTTAAATGGGTATCAGGCATTTCTGTGGGGGCCAGCTTAGCCGACATGTTTTTTTATCAAAATGAATGAAAATGTTATCCAATGTCTACGGCAAACAGCCATTAAATCTTTCTTCCCAAGTTCCTTTGACATGACGGCGATAGACTCTGGAAAGCTTATCTTGAAGCACTGTAAGAATTAAGAAATACACATAAGTACAAACCTCTCAAAGCAATATATTTCAATCAATTTTACAAAATTTATAATTCTAACAAATTCTGACTCTACCCAAAAACATTAGTCACGTTCACTCTCATGGAATATAATTGTGATGAAAATACTCCAAATGATCCAGCGATGATTAAGCCACCATAATAGATGACAATGCAACACACATCAAAAGCAACAGGAATAAACTGAATAATACTATTTTCACAACCACGTAGCAGTGCAATCGTCACAATAATTTCACTTCTAGGCAGCCACAGCCAACGCACGCCTAAGAGTCGAAATGGAATATGTACGCGATTCAAGTACCTACGCTAAAGAACATTTAATTAAGTGCAAATTAATCAATCGGCTACACGGCGATCGTTCTTGAACAATATCGCCGTTGTTTTTCTTCACAATTCGCTTTTGTTTATACTCTTTTGGGATGTTTACATTGTTGTTCCTTTACAGAGAAATTGTTCAGGTCCGTTGTACCAATAACAAACAAACAAACAACAACAAAAAAACAAACAAAAAACTGAAAAAAATATGAAGCATTTGAGCTGCCATAAACCCTCGCTGCATAGTCAGCCAGCCTGCATTGGCGGCAAAACGATGCGTAAATGTCTACATATTATTTTAATGTGGACATCCACAACTGACGCATGACGTAGGTTCTACATCTATCCTCCTGCTGTCTTAGCTGCCATTTATTACGTCACAGAACTGACCACTGTCACCGACATCGAGCGCATTTGGGAAGCACCGTTCCGTTTCCATCTATGTAAGTAGCGGTGATATTGCCTTCCCTGAGTTCTTCGATAATCTCGTGTTCCCTTTCTGAATAGCCCTCAGCGAGTATCATGTCTCCTCCTGTAATCAGACACAGTTATGCTACATATATACCTACATAAATGCTAAATGTATTTAGATGATTGTCAAACAATGTTAGATCATTATTTGATGCAAGAAAGATAGGTACTACCGCCACTCTACCTTTCTACCGTTCAACTCTACTTTACTGTAAGCATCGGCAGCTGTTCATAGTTTTTGTATAAAGTTACGATACGGTTCAATACCGGTGGGTTTGGATCCGTCCAACCACTGAGCCTTCGTGAAATAAACATTTACATTGCAAAAATACATACATCTTGCTCGTTGCAAAATACACGAAGGAGCGATCTATTGACGCGAGTGAAGGGTTATTTATTTGAATAGGTTCCTGCACGCGATTTCCTCAACTTATTTAGGTATTTTAATAATCCAGACAAGCAAACAAATAACAAACCTTAACAAATCGTACTTACTGACTCCCGAAAGTTGTTTCCATCTAACACTTCCTTCTGAATAACCCCTTTGGTGACATTAGCCGTTTTTACGACGGGCTATCCGGCGAGTGCATCTAATTTGACCAAATCTGCACCTAATCTCTTTTACAGCAAATATCTTTATTGTAGGAATTTATTTCAGTGTTTTAATCGATGATGCTCACTGTTAATATCACAAAGCAGGCATATAAGCAATTAGTGCAACCCTAGCTGATAGCTGCTAAGAGACACACTGAACCTGATTTGACCAAATCTGCACCTGATCTGCACCAGATGTGCACCAAATGTGTACCAGATGGCCGTCGTAAAAACGGCTATCACGACCTCTGTCCCACCCGCTGACCTGCCAGGAAGGCGGCGAAGAACCCGTAGGTGCCGTAGTCGAAGATGGTGTGGTTGCAGGCGGCCAGCAGGGCCAGGTCCCTCTCTACACCGGGGAATTCGCTGCGCGGATCGCCCAGAAGGTAGATGTCGGTCCCGGAAAGATTCTCCCTGGGGGCGGATATACGCGAGATATCAGATATATAGAACTGAAATTGTGAAGGAGAGTGGGTTGGGGCTGTTATTGGCTTATAATTGGCTGATCATGATTTGTGGATTTGGTTGGAATAGGTTGTTTGAAAAAAGTGATAGCATGATTTCCGTGATTTAAAAACGCCGAAGGAGGTTATTAGTCTCATTAATATGAAAAATACCGTGAGCATTGATAACAGATTCATGTTATCTATGCCGTGAGATATATAGTGAGTGTAATTCGTATTCGTTTCGTTCGGACTACCCTGAGGCAAAAAAAAAATTGGTAAAAACCAGTCCCAGAAAGCCCGAAACGAATACGAAATACAATCATTTACCTCAGGAAGATTATAAACGACACTTCGCCAGTGCCTGATATTTAGTGAGATATAACGCTGAACCCGACATAGAATGACTATGAGTAATGAGTATGACTCAGTTTGCAGTACACATGTGTCGTTGCAGTCGTATATGCAAATGCATGCTGCACAGGCCTGCAGAGTGCACAGGAACCCGAGCCGGCCGGCCGACGTGACGTGACGTGAGGTCTGCCGGAAATGTAACACCGCGGGGTCGGATGGCGAGCGCTGGGGCGCGCGGGCCGACCCGACCGGCGAACCGGCCCGCCGCGACGGCGAGGGTCAGTGCTGACTGCCGAGTGAGACATGGGGGACTGCCGTGTGGAATAGACGCACTTTGTGCGAACTGCGAACGGGCTTTAATCCAACGGATATTGTGCAAACCATTGAAATACACATTCAGACACAATCCATTTATTTTGTATGGAGTGAAGCGAAAACGGTGGGATGATGTATAGGTATGTGCAAATATTGGCGCGGGTCAGCCAGGGTTAGGTGGGGGAGTTAGAGCTGACTCAATGCCTGAGTGAGTGACTGACTGACTGACTGACTGATTGACTGTCCGACAAGCAGACTAACTGAAGGACGCAGACTGACTGCGGTAGCCAGTGACAAACAGATAGACAGGCAAACATACAAACTGACTGACTGACTGACTGACTGACTGACTGACTGACTGACTGACTGACTGACTGACCGAGAACTGACCTGCACCACTTAAGGTCGTCGCTGGTGACAATGAACACAGGCTCTGAATACCTCTGCCTGCACAAGTTAATTGCCGAATGGTAGAATGGAGCTCCCACTAAATGTCCGTTAGATCCCTGAAAAAGGAAAATATGGTTAACTAACAAGAAAAAGACTTCTATATTACTTATTTCTTAATACTCTGGGGTAAGTGTCTCATCGATGCAAACAGTTAAAGGAAATAGTTCACTTTCACGAAATTATTTTTTTGCAACGGATTTATGATTTTTTATGTTCAAAATAATCAGCAAAGAAAATAAAACCTTTTTATAACAAAATATTATTTTCTATATTTTGATATAGGAAGAACTTTTCAGTTTCTGTAAGGCACACGCGATCCAGTATGAAAAGAGCATGGGTCCCGAAAATTCTTCAGAAACAGAGAAATTATCGCAGCCACCGGCATTTGGGCGATCTGCTCGATCTGATAATGTTCCCCTGAATGTCCTAATTGATCAGTACGAGAATTTCTCTAGAGTTCTCGTAGATAATTTCTCTAGTTTCTAAAGAATTTTCGGGACCCATGCTCTTTTCATACTGGATGGAAATATATGCAAGGCACACATCCTCAGCGCAAGACACCTTTTTCGGGACGAGAAATAGAATATCTTTGCCTAGGGTGATCGTTGGGCTGTAAAAGCTCCTGATTTATGCTCGTCTCAGCCCAAGCTACGGAACTGCTATTCCAGTTCAAAACCCATGTTAAAAAGTGAACTATTTCCTTTAATAGGTCACTAATAATGATATCTATACTAAATAGGAGTGCAGTTAAAACGATTAAGTCCATTGGGTTGAATGAAGAAGTGTATCGAATTTTAAGATCGCGAGTTTACATTATTATCGATGATTAGGTGAAAATATTTTCATAGGCTACACAATCAAGGCTCACTAGTACATCTTCATACATTCTCATGGAGGTGGTAGATCCATTGTTTTGTACTTAAGCCTGTTCTGTTCTTTATCTTAGAGGTGCCCATTTTTACCTTGAGATGTTTGGCGTAATCAGTCCTCCTCACATGCACCGCCACGAACGTGACCTGCCGTCCGCCCGCCACCGAGGCCAGTTTAGAGTTGGCGTATTCCACCAGGTCGGGCCTGTAAAAGGGAATTCGGTTTGTTGCCGAACACTTCTGAATATGTCCCTGGGCGGTAACTTTCACATTGTGAGCACAGTTATAGTTCGTTTTTTTTTTCAAAAGGACGCTGGCTCAAAGTTCATTATCGAAGCTCTCACGTGAGTTTTGGCAACTTCAGCGTCTGGCTAAGAATTTCTTGCCGACAAAATGATCGATTTCAAATTGTGCTCGGTAAATACATGGAAATTGTGACTTCAAAAATGAGCATACGATGATGACGTCACTGGTGGCAGCTGGCACCCAATGTCCGTACGAAAGCATTCATTGCCAACGAATTTTGGGAAAATTTCGTTTTTTGTTCTTACCTAGGCCCCAATCGAGTAAGCAATTCTTTCCATGATAGTTTTGCATTGCATTGCAATGCAAGATCCACAGCATGACGTCACCACTGTTCTCATGTCTAGTTCCAAAACGGAGGCATGTAATTTATCGGGAATAATTCACATGTTAAAATAAGGCGACGTTCGAGTTTCTCAGGTTCAGTTTTTGCCCGTTTTGCTCGCTAAAACACGTGCTTGTTCGGAAAACATACTTGGAGCCAGCGTCCTTTTGAAAAAAAAACGAACTATAACTGTTATGATCTGATAGAGTGACAACCTCCTTTTCAATAAAACGTTAATTAAAGTTGCATGTCGTTGATTTAAAGAAAATCGCCCCTTCCAGTTTTCAAAACGGGGTTTGCAAGAACTCACCTGAATCTAAAATCCTTCATGAGCGCGTCTCTATACCACCAGAACAGTCGTATCCTATGAGGATAATGAATGATCTTCCACCGGTATTTTCTTCTGTCGTGTTCATTGACCGCCTCAAATTGATCGGCAGTCACCTTCTGAAAGCCGCTGGTACACGACTCCAACACCCAAGGTAAGGAGGTAAAGGGGAAGATGTGGCCCATCATCCGCATAAGGTCGGTTGTGGCCACCGCTGGCATTTGGTATCTGTTAGAAGAAGAAAGAGGGTGAGGTTGTTTCAGATCAGCTTTTTCGAGGGGCTCGGCCACGGGGGGGAGGGGGGGGGGGGCGGAGTTCCGGACCCTCCGATAATTTGTCGGCTTGTAGTTCATCGGAATTTTTTTTTTGGATTAGCGCTGTTTGTTTATTCTGCTTTTCCATAACTGAAATGGTCATTTCTTCTTCTCTATTGTCTGGAAACTAGCATTATCGAAACAAATATTTTATGACTTTATCAGTGTCTTCATTGTATGTTTGCTGCAGCGCAATGTGTATAGAGTTCCATTTATAATTAAGAACAGAAGATCAAGAATGTTTGGAATTTTCTGTCTGGTCCGCACCGCTCAGTGTGTTTGAGCGGAGAGAGAGAGAGAGAGAGAGAGAGAGAGAGAGAGAGAGAGAGAGAGAGAGAGAGAGAGAGAAGAGAGAGAGAGGAGAGAGAGAGAGAGAGAGAGAGAGAGAAGAGAGAGAGAGAGAGAGAGAGAGAGAGAGAGATAGAGAAGAGATCGAGAGAGGGAGAGAGGAGAGAGAGAGAG